TCCGACCCTAACATCTATGAAGCTATGAATCCTCCAATCCAAAACAAACAAAAGGAAGTATTTCTTTACACAGCATCTAATTAATACATGGAACTTACTGCCATAGGATGTTGTGGACTCCAGTAGTATAACTGGGCACCAAAAAATTGAACCAAGTATTAGAGGATAGATCCTTCAAGGGCTATTAACAAAGCAGTTAAAGATGTAACCTAGTGCCAGTACGTGTTGTGGGGGTGATGGATACATCGCTTTACATGTGCCCTGTTTCTTGTACTCTTCATATGATGCATCTACTGCTTGCCACTGTTAGAGGCAAGATACTGGGTTACAGTAGCATTACTAAGGTGGAGGGACCAGAACAGTAGCCCCAGGTGCCAACATGGGGAGAGGTAGTGGAAAAATACTAGATGCCAGTGTATCTGCATGATCACACTGGTAGCATGGCAGCAGTTGGAAGTTGCCATTGTCTCTGTGCATGACAGCTGCCCCAGGCATCCAGCTGTCTTTTTATGAGTTATCTGGGCTAGATGAGCCTTTTTTCTGAAGTAGTCTGGTGATTGTTATTCTCTTAAACTAACAGTGGAAATGTGGAATATTTACTACTCTCTCCTTTATGGTGAAAGTCTGCACATTTATTTTTCTTTTTTTAAGTTGTTTTTTATTCCTTGTTACGTATTTTAAATAATATCAAAAGTTTTCAGTCTTGTCTTTCCTGACTTTACTTTAAATCTCTGAGCACTACATAAAGTAAATTGAGGAGTTCTCTCAGCCCTTGAGCAAAGGCAAAGTATATTAAATCTTTAAGAAGCAAGTTTTCTTTCTACAGTTCATTAGATATTTGAGTTAACGGATTGTTTAAAGTGTAATAGTCAGAAAATCATTTTCCCCTCATTGAATCAGATTCAATCCCCCTGATATCTGTGATGTCACTGATACAAGCTCTGGGTATCCCTAGAATTTTCTACAAAAACAAGCTAGACATAATCTGAATTTTAGTATACAAATAATCAGAAAACAAGGCTTCTGGGGACTTAAAAAAGCCTAAACAATAAGCATTTTTCTGCATCCTAAAAAACAGGAGTATGTACAAACCTACTTTCTTCTTTTTCTGCTTTTTGTAGGTTACTTTTTCATTTCTAATGTATCTCTTCCCAATAATTAGTCTGTAAGTACTGTAAAAGTAGCAGTAATATGGAAAGCTGAACAGTGTCAGGGACAGCAGGAAAATAAACTAATAAGTAGATTTAAAATAAAGCAGACTTCCTCACCTCCTGTCACAAGTCTAAGGACCAAATTTTATTCTGATGTACACAGGCATAATTCCCAGTGAATTCATGGTCTGTCAATAATTGTTTACATTGGGGTTGAACTTGCTCCTGGCACAATATCAGGTCAATGTAGGTTACATTAATTTTCCTCATCTACTCAATTCTAAACAGATTAAAATTGCCTTCCGCTTTCTTTCTTTCAAAAAGTTATTGATTATAGGATAGAGGACAGATGGATATTCAAACACTATGCTGTAAATAGGCTTGCTAGTGATTGTATTCATGGCTCAATGCATGAGACAAATAACATTTCCCATAGGATCTAAGGACATTGGGGAGTAATTAAAACATATCCATAAACAGTGGGCACATCTACATGTGCAATTAGCGTGGCTGAATAAACTCCAGTGCATTTTGCACAGAGTTTATTGCTCCTGGGCATAGTGTTTACATGTGCGCCCAGGACCACAGCATGCTGAGCCCGGGTAATGCACCCCCAGCTTACAGAAGCCCGGGGGGTGAGCCTGCCAGCCCAGAGCTGCTTTGCCCTGGCTCAACA